AATAGTAGAAGCAAAAAGAAAGTGGTTTGTTTAAAGAAAAAGTGAAAGTGACAGAGGGAGAGGGAGAGCTGGTATGTATTATGCAGCTGTTCAGTATGCTAGTCACATCGTAGTGCTCCATTCAGGCCTGTCACACTGAGAAATGGCCTGGTGGCAGTTCCTTTAGCCCCTTACCCACCGCAATTAAGTAAATGGAACCAGGGCTCGGTCAGTCCCCTCCCGCACCACCCCACATTGCATTGATTTTTTTTGCAAGGGAATGGGCACGGTCACTAAATGACAGCAGGACATTTAGATGTTTTAAAAACAAAATTGAATTATGCTCTGGAGATTTAGTTTGTAAGTTGAAGTGCCCTGTGTGTGTCGCTGTGCAGGCCGGAGCATGAGAGAGGGGGCTGGAAGGACAAGATCAACTGAATTTGAATAAGAGATGGAGAAACAAAGAAAGAAGGGTTTTCTTTACACTTCCAGAGCAAGGAATTAATTTGATTTTAAAACAATGATGCTGAACAGTTTTTTTGTAGTGTGCCTACAATGCAAGTACAATATGATGAGCATGCAGACATTATGCAGTAGGTATTATGCACTGTAGATGGTTTGAGTTTGGGTAGGGAAATCTCAGGTTCTGCCCAGTATCTGCGTGACTGACAAGAGAATCAGTGAATTGATTCAAACAGTGAATTGATTAAACCTGACAAAACAACTTTCAGAACAGTTCACCAAATTGGATTGGTTATTTATTTATTTATTGCTGGAGAAAAGAAAACACGTCTAAAGATGTTAAACTAAACAAAAATAAATAACAATGGCAAATGAAATTAAAATGAAATTGTATTACCCAAATTGATTAGATATGTTTAACAGGTCCAAGCAAAAACTATAGCAAAATTTTCATTTAAATGCCATTTTTCCTAAATGCATTTAGACTTACGGGTAGGACACTTGAGATTGCATTTTCATTGTGATACCGCGTGATAATTGTAGCAAAATGCAGTGTGAATTTCTAAATGCATTTTGAGCCAAATGTGCAGCAAAATGGTTGCAAAAATGGTGATTTAAATGTCTTTTATTTTTCTTAAATGCATTGACACTTACACTTAAGATGTTTCAATTGCATTTTCATTAAATACCGCGCGATCAGTGTAGACTAGTCAATGTGGATTTGAAAATGCATTCCAAGCCGATCACGCCCCCAACCTTTCAATCATGTCAACCAATCAATCATGTATTCAGCTAACACGCAAGAGTGAACAGGTATTGCCACAGTGAAAGATACAGTTGCAGGATAATTCATGCTCACTCATTCTGTGTGCTGAGTCATTTCAATGTGTGTGTTTGTGTGGCTGATTGTTTCTTAAAGTCCGCGTGAACCGGAAGTTGCTGCCGACTTTATTTCA